ACAGAAATAAAGTAAATAAGAATGTAATAATATTAACATTCTCAAACATTAAAATCATTTACAAGGTTTAACAATTATGTGAAATGATACATAATAAATGGGATTAGGTAAGGAATTCTCGGCTAAGTAGTCATTTAATAAAAGGTAAGGACATACTTCAGTATGGATGTAATATGAATTTTCTTTTATAACGTTGACTTCCTTTTGAATAAAGCTAACGAGAGCACTAGGCTGTTTAAAGGACCCTGTACGTCGGCCATCCCAGTGTGACCTGGTGAAATATAACCTTCAAAACAAACTTCACAAACACCAGTGAATAATAATTTCCATATTCTATCCCAAGTAACGCTCGAGGTATCTACACTATTAAATGCAAATACTTAAGCCCTAAATGAAACTCAAAATGTTCGAAATGATCCCATTACATAATTTACCTTGGCAATAGGAGAAAGTCGGCCGTGGCGACGATACCTTTACGCTTCCCATCAAAAATTTCTATTGAACAATGTTTAACTTGAAAGAACCAGCCCGATAACCCGTTGACAATTACCACATTGGAAATATGCATCACTAAAACTTTCTGTTGTTCTCGGTAAATGTCAATGACTCCATATATTTACGTATGTATTGCACTGTATGATTTTTACTCAAATTCTGATAAAATCAAGATTCCAGTAAAGGTCAAGAAGTACCCCGCCGTCTAACAACAATGTTAAGGTAACAACCATGAACCGTTACTAATTCTAGGATTTCATTTATATATCCACATGCTAAATTTAGTTAATGGCCATCTTAATAGCAGTATTATCTGTGCCAGCCATTGCATTCACAATTTCTGGACACAGAGGGGAGCATACTTCTCCGTCTCCCACTCCCTGGACCTCAAAGTACAACACTGCATTTTTTATCAACGTACCTGTAATGCCTCCACTCAACTGCTAATAATCACAACGTAGTCTTGGAAGCCCTTACGGCGCCACAAACAGGAAGTAATCCACAAAACGAAAAACCCGAAAATAGCCAAATACTGTATCAGCAGAAACACCGTCTCCCCCACCAGTACCCTAATGATCACTGGACTGGCGACGGAGAGTACTGACTGTCGAACTCTTGAAGTGATTCGTTTCCTTAATTCATTGGTTCGCTTTACTGATTCACATTTACTGAATGGATGGCAGAACGAACATACACGATTCGATGTCATCTATAATCTCAATCATTTTCTCGAATTAATTCTAACCATTATTAGCTAAAATAAAATTGATAACGAAAATTCATCATGAGATGCGAAGCTTCGTTCGCTACCCCGCTATTACGACACTAAACTAGTCCACAACCAAACAAGTAGTAGTTTTAACATCTTCAAAGTCCATACTTGAATAAAGATATATACGCTTTTTTATTTCTGAAAACATTACAGGTACAGTTCAGGGGAACGAGGAACTTGGGGTTTTCCTATACATCACCCAGGCTGTATACGGTTGCCTGCACAAGGGGCGGATCCAGGAATAACAAATACTTTTTCTTTAATGCAGTATTGTATTCAGACGTTTTTGTAAAGTAAAATGTAATTCTAGACGTGCAGGCTTCAAAATGGTCAGATATAATATAAATCTAGGAGGCTTCAGCATCTCCCCCAACAGCACAAAAAAATCCCTGGCTGGGATTTGGGGATTTCTATTTTTATTGTTATTTATTTTTTTAGGAGGGGGGAGGTGGTGTACCAGATTTATATTATATCTGACCATTTTGAAGCCAATGTGCACTTGATATTTGGAGATATTTTAAGTCAATAGTGTCTGAATACAATACTGCATTAAAGAAATGGTATTGGAATTTTCTGATGAAAAGGGTGGGGGGGGGGTCTGGACCCCCAGGACCACCCCTGACTGTATCCATGACGCAGATGACTTAAGTGGAGGCCTTTAAGAAACAAGTGAAGACCTTTCTCTTTTTTGAAAGTTTATGATCCTGAACAGTGTACAGTGATGGAGAATCACAGGGTTTAGTTAGTATTAAAACTTTAGGGTATATTATTGGTAGAAGTTCAACTGTCACTTTTTGTGATGTTTTATTGTACAGTAGTACAGTATTTCTTTTAATCTTCAAGTCTTTCACTTTGTAGTGTTTCGAGCACTAGTGAATTCTTTATAAGAACTGGCACTTTTGAGAAACAAAAGACCAGCTATTATTATTATTAATACCGTACAGTATTATTATTATTATTAAAAAAACTTACCTAACTTTAAATACCGGTAGCTTTCCTTATTTCACTTCAAGTTGTTCAAAAAGGAAATATATTCCTCCTTAAACTCACAAAATCCTAACCTAACCTAATGCACCTTAACCTAACCTAAGATAAACTCTAACCTACCCTTAAATATCTTACCAAATGTCAACTGCATCTCTTGCCAGTTGACAGAGATTATTGACCCATTGCACATGACATCATGCATCACTTGATTTTATGATCAGTGCCATTTGGGAGAACACTACATAGCTTAACATTACTCAGTGAAACTGCAGTTTTGGTAGCAATGGGGAAATTTTGTGCGGTAACGATGTGAAAAGTTGCGAGCCATAATTCATAACAGCCAATGTGAAGTGCTCATTTTGTTACTGGTAATAATTTCATGTACTGTACTTTATAAAGTTCTGGCCCAAGACACACATGGGAAGGTGTTATCCATTCTGGCCCAAGACACAGGTTCCTCCTGTACTAACACTGGACAATAAAAGTCATAACAAAGTAACAAATGAAGGGACCAACTGCCTGAATAACTAGGAAGCTAATAAATTGTGAAATAATAAATTAAATCCTAATCAATGTAAGTACCGTCCTTATGTTCGAGGATTGACGACCACAGAAGTCCACTCTAAATGTTTTTTAACTGTTTTTTACCAATCCTCCAAGAGTTTGCATATCTTTGAGGGCATAGTTTTTAATTGTATTCATCCATCCCAATCTCTGTCTTCCCTGGCCCTCAACTTTTACCTTATTTACCTAATAGCCATCCACTAGAGGTGGCCATGCCAAGAGAATGAGGCCAGTGGCCCGTGTAGGATCCCTCCATTGTTCTTGATAATTTTGTCAAGGGCAAATTGAAGCCCAGTATTGTACTGTTCTTGATGTCACAGCTTGGGCTGGTAGACCATTCCATAGGTCTTTAAATCTCCTGTATATTACCTATTGGTGGAAATAGCACGATGGTGTAAGTGTAACACACTTAGAAGAAATTAATTTCATTAGATTTTCAAGGTTATGAACAATGAGTACTACATTGAACCTTCAAAGTTTATTACTACTGGTACTGTACCATGAGGTGGAAAGTCAAGGGAAAGTGTATCTATGCAATACTTACTCAGTGGCACGAGATTAAAACATATTTTTCAGTGATAAATGATAAAGACAGACATTATCATGCTAGAATTCTTAATGGAATGCTTTCTGATCATACAAATTTTTTATACCTAACCTTTGCATTGTCAATCATTCAAGACTTTGAAAATGTAAATGCAACTTTTCAAATTTCAATCCTTTAAAAGTCTTTGAATATCTCCATTAACTGCATTACTCGCTTCTAACAAGAATCCACGAAGGAAGTTCTTCAGACTCAAACTTACTGCCTTTAGAAAAGACTGATTTTGGAGTCAAGTTTGAAAAAGAACTACGTAGTTTGTCACATTCTAAATACCTTGTTTTGTTGAATTTCTGGAAAACAGCTCAGCTGGGTTCCTGGGAATGCTGGAGTCAATAAGTGAATTTGTCGACACAATGCAAGAGTTGCCTGATCCATGGAATTTCAAGATAAATCTTTATTTTATTCACAAGGTATTAGTTTTCATTTTCCTATCCACAGCATTTACTGCACACATACTATACCCTGTAGAAATTAAGGGCTTACTGTACTTTATTAAATATATAATGAAAAAACTGTGAAAATGTATTTGATTTATGCACTGTTTACAACCACCAAAAATAAAACTTTTGACACTTACAAGCATCTTATTTGTCATTAAGAGTAAAATTAAAGTGACTAGATACTGTACCTACAACTTTTTTCATATACTGTATAATATATGTGCTAATAAAATGACAAGATGTAGAAACAACTAAAAGAAAGTATTGAAGAAAGAATAACCTCTTAGGCTAACACCATCTGAACACAGTATTACCTCCGGATATTTTAATCCTGGGGTCCCAGATTCACCAAAATTTTAGGTTGCCAAATACAGTACCCAAATCAACTTAATACTGTACTGTACAGTTGGGTCTTCATTTATGCAGTCAATTGAACCCGTGGAGTACTGCGTAAAACGAGAAACGCGTAAATGAAATAACAGAACATATGGGATTAATTAAAATAGAGACTGGGCCGACCCCCCAAACTCCACTTTTTCCGACACAACACATACCTTGTAGTCAAAATAACATCTTAAGTTTATGATGGTATGCACACACAATTAATAATTAAGAGAAATATCAATAATATCAGGTTTTTTAACACTTACGTTAGTAGAAAAGATGGCTGGGCACACGGGGATGGAAGGTTGGTTCCGAGGCAGAGGGCAGATTATTGGCCCTCACCTGTATCACTTGTATCACTATCCACCACATAGGGTTGCAGGGCCTCTTTGTCAAACCCCTCAAAGTCCATATCCTCACTATCACTATCACTGACTTGGGCCGGCTGTGGTGGGTGACAGGTGAAGAACTCGGTAATGTTTTGATGACTGGGCGACCTTGTGCCGCTTCCCGCGTAAATGACCAAGTTTACCGCATAATTAAAGCATTTCAATTCTGGCAAGGCACTGCATAATGACTAAACGCGTAAACAAAAACCGTGTAAATCCAGACTCAACTGTATTTTGTTACACCTTGCAGCCAGATTTTGTACAATATTATAAAACCAATGACAAAGATCAAATCTGATACTCTTTTTTCACCATTAATATTTATTCTCAAGTATTTATATGGAAGGAAATTAGAAACCCAAACATGAACAGCATAATATAGATATGTATATTTTTTAACAGTTGGAGCTTAAGAGATAAATTCAATGCCTTCCGACTCCTAAATTATACTTAATGTAATGAAATATCACAAATTGAATCTTCAAACTCCTCTACTCTCTTATTAATTTATTTTATGAAACAAAGCTAATGCACAAGTAAATCACAATATATGTCTGACCCCTATAAAGGCCATGAATATCTCAACTACTGTACTAATAAATGATGCTTCAAGTTTCTTCTACCTTGTTGCCAAAAAGCCATACGGTATTTAATTAGTATCTAATTTCTTGAACCAACAATTTATCCATCCTTACTGTGTCTCAATTTTTCATTACCTACCTATACTGTATATGTTTTCACGGGGGAATCTAAACATCAGGTTCCTGAAAGTTTCAACATAAATACTCCAGTCTGTCCTGCTTCCATGAGGACATCATCTGCAGTGTTGCATGGTCAAGTCAGTTCTGTGAAATGCTCTGGTAACTGTGGCCATTGTGGTAGTGCATACTGTACTAGGACTTAGTTTGTGGAGAGCCGTGCTGGCTTCCAAGTGTTATTCTTGGAAAACATTTGTGAGGTATTGTCTTATCCAAATTTTTGAATGTTGATGACTAGTTTTATCTCGTACACAATTGTAAAAAAATTTTTGATATGAAGCTGTTTGGTGTCTTAAAAATATCATGTAATTTAATAAGTAGATTCTCCCATAATATCATGTAATCTGGTTAGGCTGAACACTGTTGCTTGGGTTTAACTTCTTGGAATTCAGGAAGATGTTTTATGACTGTAAATGATATCAATAGCCTCACCATGAGTAACAATACTGTACTTACTTCAGTTAAACCCACTTATAGACTCCAACATAGAAAAAAGACAACTACCCGGAAAATTCCAGGGATGTGGGATTTTTCTGGGTTTGAGAGTCGTCTCGGTACCTAGAAATCTCTCAACCTCGGAAGAGCTCTACACCAGTTCTTCTGGCTAACGGGGATATCACTATACAGATATTTCTGAATAACACAGTACAATACTGTATATAGAAGGCACTACACTGCCATGATGTATCATCACCTTGCATCTCCAGCATGATACACCCAAACAATCTTTGTGATGGTAACATAGGTGTAATGATCAAAAATATTAAAGATAGTTCAATATGCTATATACCTCCACATCACAGAAGCCCTTATGAGAGAAAACTTGTACTCGACAACCAGTAAACTGGATAAGACCTTACACAGTACTGTACTGTATTTTGGTGAATGTTTTCCAATAAGCAATTACAGACCAGCATTTATACACAACAGCAGATTCCTAGTACAGTATTCAATACTACAATTTTAACACTTATCAGATATATTCAGCACTTTTGAATGTGTTCTGAAGTCATTAAAAATAATCAACCCTGCATGGAGTAAAAGCCATTGAAATCTAGTCTGTTGAGAAGGTCTTGTTGGCAGGATTCCATCTTGATTCGTTGTCCAACCTTCACCAACACTGAGGAAGTAAAGAGATGCAATGGAGATAATTTTCATCTATACTTAAAGAAGCAAAATATCATGAAATACAGAGGATAATGTTCTAAGGCTGGAAATACAAATATAATGGTAAAATAATCCACTTCAAATACTAAATATATTGATAAATAAATGAAGAGAATTTTACAATGTGGTATAATTTCTTAATGAAAACATTAAAGACAAGAGTAAACAAGAGCAGAACATCAAACAACAACAACTCACCATTCACAGTCATGCATATAATAAAAGCACAGATAAAGACAAAAGCTTCAGCGATTATGTTAGTAGCTCAATGCAATCCTTGTCCTACAACAGCTATCCATCACACTGTGAAGCAAGTCATCTTCAAATATGCCACATTTAATGAACAAAAACTTAATTATTAACCAGAAAAGCTGAAAATGTTAAACATATCATTGTATCTAAGGGTTGGCATTCACAGTCCTCCACTCTAAAACGGTCTCAGGCTGTTTTTACCAATCCTTTAAGGTTTTGTATTTCTCTGGGGACCCAGTTTTTAATTTCGTTCACCCATCTCAGTCTCTGCTTTCCCCTGGCCCTCCTACCCTAAACTTTGCCCATTATTTCTGTTATCCCTTCATCCCTAAAATATATTGCCATGTCTGGTTATAATTACCATACTAATTATAATCAGGCCTAAAATTAAATGTCTTTGGATACCTTATCTAATAATTCTTTCTTCCAAAAACCTTTCTCTACTACTTAGCAAAACATACTCCACAGTCTAATCTTGACACATACCCAGAGATTCCTCCACTGGTCCACCCCTCTTATATATTGTACTGTACTGTACTGTACTCCCTTTTTCTGTTCCACTACATTTAGCTTTATCTATACAGTACATATCTATGTCTAATCACAATTAAATAATTATATTATGTCCACACTTGCATACCAACCTGATATTCCATTTTTTTCACTGTGTCAGCCAATTACAGTATATGAATACCAATCTTGAACTACTGTACAGTACTTGACTGAGATAGTGTTATCTCTTTTGACCTATTCAAGCTCTCACAGGCTAATACTATGAACCACACTTTTGATACCATCATGCTCTACATTTTTCTAAACTTCATTAAACCATTTGGTTTTCTATGCTAATTAATATCTCATTACGAACCAATGCTAATTTTTTTTTTACATTATCTAATGCACCACAATTTATGTCCCTGAAGCATATTTTTCATCAAATTTGTGGCAGGAGAGCCAATACATAATCAAAATATAATCCTGAGCTTACCTAATTTCATGAAGCTCTTACAAATATTTGCCTAATTCATATCCATGAATATTTATTTTGACATCTTTCTTCTCTTCTGCTGAATTTCAATACAAAACGTCATGTTAACCTCATACACGTTTTCCATATAAAGAGGTTTGGAATAAAATGTATCCCAAGGAACAGAATTCAGTTTATGACTCTGGCTGGTAACTTTTTTAAAATCAAATGTACAGTACATGTAAAGAGTGAAGTTAGTCATTGTAATGTTGGTTTCTGTAAGGGGTAAATTATTTTCCAAGGAGGTTGTCACTCCACAATAATAAGTGGTGTGAAGCTAATCTGCAGACGATGGCAGAATTGCATATACCATAACTACTGTGTACCAGTGGTTCCATCATGTAATTTACCACTAAACTCCAGGATATTCCATGCAACATCTGTAAAGCCTCATAGATGCTGAACATCTCTACCATCATCCATACTAATACATTGTACCCGTCACATTCAAGAGTAATGCTTTGATTTAAATTTTTAGTAGTTTATGACCAATAATAATATAATAATTTGTGAAGAAGACAGATTTAAAACTTATCTATATTTTGATGTTTAATTAAATTGGTGTTAACATCCTCAAATTATTTAAAACATTTTGGCTGTGAAGGGTAATACTGTACTGTATACAGATTTCAAGCACTTTGACTGCTTTGTGCTCAAAATGCATGACTGCAGTTATCTGAGTACTAGCAAACATGTAATGAGATGAAACCATTACCTCTTGCAGTTTATCCTCCTCCTCCAGTAGTGCTTCAAGGAATTTGAAGAGTAAAAAGTTTACATAAAAAATTAACATAGTCAGCATCAAACTAAGTACAGGGTCAAATACACCCGGTAGGGATAATAATGTATTTACTTAGTTTCTGTCTTTCATTATAATACCCAGTCTCACAACAAGCTACCACAAACATTAGTAAACAGGTCAAAAAGTAGAACTACACATTAACTCACAGTAATTGCAGGCCATTACAGGTTGTAGTATTTTTTTAATGCTAATTACAAATCTCTTGTGGTAAAAATTATGAACAACAGTGATTATGAAATTCCTGCAGTAGCACTAATCATATTAGAACAGGTATTAATTATTAAATATACAGTACTCTAACTGCTGACAAGAAATTGAAGTAGTGATACATCCAGGAAATACTACAAGCAATTTTGTGAAATGGCCTCAGATGAACAATCAAAGGCTGAACCATATTGTAACCTACAGCCATTTATGTATGCTTACAAGACAAATGAGAAATTGCCTGTGTGGGATTATGCAAGATATAGAATAAAGGTTGGTCTTATTCATACCAGGGATTGTGTTCCTAGAATTGTTCAGTAAAAGTGAAATTTCCAGAGTATTAGATGAAGATAGGTTTCCAGTCCTGGTAGGACATTGCATTACAGGTCACAGCCAGTCCCCCTTTTAATGAAGATTCTTTACTGTATTAAGTTTTTGTGTATGCAGTATACTAATAGCAATTTAATAACTAAATACTGTTGATTTTATTGAATGAACATTATACACTACTCTGCCCATCAATACATGGGGAATGGCTGGCATTAGGAATTTGTAGACAAATATAGTAAATGGCCTGCCAGAAGCTTCCAATAACTGAGAAACGTTACTCAAATAATACGTTTAAAATATTTCTATCACTCCATTATCCATGGATAAATAAAGTACAGTGGTCCCTCGGTTAATGAGCACAATCCGTTCCAGCAGGTTGCTCGTTAACCGAAACCATTGTTTCAATGGGTTTTTGGGTAATTGGTTCCAGCTCACCGAAAATTGCCTAAATTCAACAAAAAAGGTAGAAAAGTACACTTACTTTGAGGTGTGTATGTAGAAGGCTCCTGGATGATGATGATGATGATGATGATGATGATGATGATGATGATGATGATGATGATTTAGAATGGGGGTGGAGGAGAAGGAAGAAGAGAAGGCATTGGGGTGGAAGAGAAGTCACCCCATGGCACCATTTCACCCATAATATTTTAGTTCTCTTGGTGTATTTCAAGATTATTTTCTTTAAATCAACACTGCACTGCATTATATATTGTCAATATGTAAAATATATTTCAAAATGACCAATAATTTGCTTGGAAACACAGAAAAAAAGCGTTTAGTTGAAGAGAGTCTCAAGCAAGATGTTACCTCCACTGAAAACAGAGAGAGACTAACGCCTGTCTGGTGTGTTAACAGGCTGGATGGCACGCCAGAAACTAGTTTCTTTACCTTCAATTATGTTCAATAATTGTTAAAATGACTAAAAAGTTAATATTAAACTTTTAAAATTATTGAATAGTATAAACTTCTTGATATTTACTAAAATAGTAAGGAATTTAAGCCCTAAAACCGATTACTGTATTGGCGGACTAATACTACAGCTGGTGGACCGCCAAATGCAAGCGAAAACATGTTGAAGTCGGCTCGTAAAAAACTCGTTAATCGAGGGATTGCTCGTTAACCGAAGTTAAGAATCTTATGGAAGGTAAATCGTTAACCGAAATCTCATTAACCGAGGCGCTCGTTAACCGAGGGACCACTGTACTTGGTATTGGACAGAATCAACATTACTCAAATATTGGGGTGCAGGACATTTAGATGTGTAGAGGTGACCAGGAACAGTATCAAGATGTAGTAAGGCTTTGAAACAAAGGTTAGAATCAAGGCAGTAGTGTTCCACCTCCACACAGAAACAGTCCAGAAACAAGTCACCAAAAAGCTGTACTGTTAAACATGCCTTTTGTTGGCCTGACAGTGAACAGGCAAAGTATGATGACTAAGACGCTTTACAGTCCAGGAATTCTGGGAATGGCACATGAGTAATGGCTTGTGCTCGTGTCACCCTTGCACCGCATGGCACATGAGATGTTTTCTCATAATATATAAGGTACAAGGAAGATGAAAAGCACAATGTGCAGCTGAGTGTGTGTTAACCTTAGCTGTGTATAAACAAAATTTGTGAGGTAAAATGTAATTCAGTACATACAAATGAAGGTAATTGGTTATTAACTAACTTATCTTAATTTCTAGGTCAAAGGTTAAGAACAATTTAGACAATGTTAAATGTAAAAATGTCATAAAAAGGCCATAATACCAATGAGTGTCTGTTCAATTCAACAGTAAACCAGTCTGGAAACAAAGAAGCCTTCAGTACAGTATACTAAAAATATTCTTTCCAAACAGTCAAATCACCAAGGGATAACATTACCCCAAAACAATAAAGCCTACCACAAGGTGAAAAAGGTACATATTCAAAACTTTCTTTAAGGTATTTTAAATATATTTCTTGAAACACAGTGCATCAACTCGCAAAAAAGAAGGTTTATGTGTTGCAAATTTAATGCATATCAGTAAAATACTGCTGAGCAAAATTACCAAATCTTAAAATGACCAGCAAAGGAAAATACCTTCCCAAAGCATTAAAATATAACTCAAGATGCCATGAAAATTGTGTTCTAAATTTAAAGAAAATTGATGAAAGCGCTGACAAAAATAATTGGCTCTAAAAACAATTACCAAAGTGTAAAATTATCTCAAACCATTGCAGCAACCCAAATGATGCGAAGACTCAGGTGTGAAATGGTTGAGACGCTGTCAAGATATTTACAGATTATACAAATATAATAACAGATGAAGAAAAAAGGTTGGTGAAAAATTCCCAGGAGCTGTAAATCTCCCACACACAATACAGCAAAATGTATGGTACCAAGATATGTATGGGCTGTCTGAAGCAGTACTGTATCAAGTTACTGTAAAAAATACTGTAATGCGTTTACAGTACATATACATACACTGATAGAAACAACTCTGGCTTCTATAACATTGCCTCTGAGGACAAATCACTTTCAACCAACCTACGAAGAGAAAAAACTAAATACTAAAGAAATTCACTGAAATACAATACAGCATTACCATATTGTTAATACCTGTACAGTAATTGTAATGTATCTACTAAGGATACTAAAACAGTATTTAATTAAGTTTACTTACATTTGTGCAGGAATACAGCATGCTTCTGAAACTCCTGGTGGGTGGTCTTGAGAGAATTAAATGCAGGGTGCTCCATCACACCAGTCTGACTGTTAGCTTGCCAAGTATGGGAGAGGTATTGAGAGCGGAAACGCAGCATCAGCGAGAATACATCCTTCACTAGCTGATGAACCACAGCACTATTCCGTGTCAGGAAACACCTGAAGTCAGGGAGGATGAATTCAATACACTACTGAATGCATTACGTACCAAAGGCATCATGAAACACAATACTGTAGCGTGCAGTACATGTTTCTTACAACAGCGGCGCTACATGTTTACTCCAACACAGGTACTTTACGTGTTTACTATAACACTAATACAGTACAGGTATCCCTCATTATCCGAATGAGTTAGGTTCCCCAAGAAGGAAATCCCAATACAGGGTATTACTGAATACTGTATATAAAAAAAAAAAAAATAAATAAATAAATAAATAAATAAATAAATGGAAACAACTCACAAACAACAAAAAAACTGCCTAACTACATACTGTAATTTAGTACCAAACTACTGTATGGGAATTGTTTAAGTAAATAAAATATATAGTACTGCACAGTTGGTACATTACCTTCTGGAAGGTTGTCAGGGCTCACCTCAGAGGGTGAGGAGGTATTTGTATTTGACTATATTTGAATTTTCCATCAGACCACATTTTGGATAAGTGAAGATTGCTTTAGGAAGTGAAAAAGAGGTGTAGAATTTTTTTTGGGGGAAGAGCATATTTTTGGATAACAAGGGATACCTGTACTACAGCACATGTTTAATAAAACAGTAGTACAGTGATATATGTTCATTACAATACCTCAGCATACTCATGATTTACCCAGAGCTCTTAACTATTATAAAATACAACCATGCATTATGTTAACAATTGTATTTTCCAGGACTTTTTTGTAGCTAAAAGCTACGGTATAATTTTTGACACAAATATAACTTTCCACTAAGTTTCCTAATCCTAAATATATCAATTAATAAGTTTTTTCATCTCTTTCTCTCATTAAAGCAGTGTTGCCCAGATTAAAATTCTTCCCTCAAGTGTCATCCATGACAAAATTGTCAGTAAAAGAATACAATTCAGTACTGTACAGTACAGTTCAGTAAAATGTTATTCTTTCCATGTCTTAATTTTTTACTTTCATACAATATCTTTACTGTTACCTTGAGATAATGGAGTTTATTAGAGAATTATGAAGGTCATACAACTCGTCCAATGATGACACCTTTTCATGTAATTTTTTTTCAAATTTGCTCCAGCTGATTTGGTGAACCTGAAAAAAGTACAGTACAGTACACAGTATTTGGCTTGGAGTAACATCCCCTCATAGAACTTTCCATACTCATATGAATAAGGAAAAGCAACACAAACATCTAATAGATTTTAGATATTAGATATTAGATTTAGATATTAGGTACTGTACTTGATAGGGAAGTGGACACATTAGAATGTTTATTACCACCTAACTCATATTTATAATAATTATCCAGGTTAGTGGTCAACAAGGTTAATACTATCACCCTCCCTTTTCAGACCTAAGAATAAATTACACAGAGTTTTAATGAAGCGTATGATAGTAAACATAAAATAATTGACTTACCTGACTAATAACATAAGCCTGTACAACTAGCAGAAACTGGTGCATTTCATGGCGATACAGACAAACTTGATGGTACTGAGGACACCTTAGGAAATTATCATTCTTGTCCTGCCGACCTATGTGGAGTAGCACAAATTTTGAGTATCAGTAAAAATGTGTCATCTTCCTAAAAATCATTATTTTACTGATAATAAAGGTGGTCTATTAATTTATCTGCTGGTGATGACATGATATGATACTGTTAGTTTCATCAGTACTTTTGACATAGAAATGTGACTGTGGTCCTCTGTACTGTGCCTGGTGATGGTGCATATTCACATGAAGTTTCAACTTTGATTTAACTTTAATTTGGTTAAAAGAAACTTAATATACTTTATTAATATGCCTGTAAAAATTAGCTTGAATATATTATATTCAAACAAATCTTTATTTATTTTTATCCAGAAAACAGGATCTGTTTCCTGAAATATTTGGTAATACATAAGTCATTGAATAATGGTGGACACTAACTTTAGTAGGTTGACCTCTTACGTTAATCTGTGACTTGGATCTTTACAATAGGAACCCACAATAAAGGTTTAATAATGACCAAATTTCAAACAAAAATGATGCAAATTACAATGAACAATTATAAAGTTTTCTAATTTGTTAACCAAAATACAAGTATTTAGGTTTTTGTTATGGTCTATGTACAATGTTGAAATTGGTTAAATTATGAGTGATGCTTACAGCAATGCTAACAAAAACACTAGTAAATGATAAAGTAATCCATAGACATCTTACCAGAAAGAGAACACAAAAACTGAAGATTCAATATAAATCAATTCCCAGACACAATACAGAAATCAACACGACGCATAAAGTAACACAAGCATTGAACTTACAAACACATGATAAGTGACGGAAGAGATCATCAGCAGCCAAAATACTATAGTGTAGAGACGCCAGGAAAGTCCACACTCGAGAGTATGAGGCCAAGGTGGTATCGTCCAAAATTAGAGTGTGGGGCCAGCGTACGTGGTACCTCAGCTCAAGGCAGTCTACAACACTTGCTGTGATGAGAGAACACAAGGACAGTTAGAAATCAATGAATACACAATAGTTCCAGTTATAAAACACAAATTATTAAATAACTTTCTATATGGTTTACTTACTCCTGCAAATGACTACTGCATTCTTGTGCAGATTCTGCTTACCGTAGATACGTAATTCAAAATAAATAAAATACAAAATCACTGGGTCTAGTATGTGCGTGGAATCTGAAGCTACAAGGTAAGTTCCACCGAAGCACTGTCCATTAACTCATCATTAGACCTTCAGTCAGAAGAGTGAAAAATAATCTGGTATAACTTCAGCAAAGAGGAGAAAGGGGGAGATAATGTCCTCATAGCTACACCTGCCTGTGGAGTTAAAATTAAATCATGGCAAACATATGATGACTCATCATCATCATGACATGGTGACCCAGCTAACTTAAATGGGAATGGTCACTATGCACAGAGTAAAACTTATTATATTATTCATCTAAATTCACTTTGCAGCAAGATTTTCACAACATACTAAAGCTGCTGCATATGTTCACTGAACAAATTTGTGGCAAAAATATATAATTCTTGAGTGACTTTCCCAGTACATTATCATGATGATAAAAAACAGCTTAATGGTACAGTAATTTTTTCCCAACTCACAGTATATTATGAACAATCTGGTGGCTCATTATATAAAATAAAAGACAGTCCCTGAGTCATGAAACAGTGCTAATGCCATAGGTTAGGTTCGGTTAAAACAGAACCCTGCTCATACAAAACAATAATATCCATTATCCCAAACATAACAAGCAAAGTACATATTGTAAATAAAGTGATATTAAATAACAAACTAATGTAAAGAAAGGGATTTTAGTTCCAGATTTTTGTCATGAATATATTGAGACTCATTCATAAGTTGGGCACTCGTAACTTAGCGATTGCCTGTCATAAAAAAGTCATCCAACTCTGAGGAGATGAACAACCAGATGTTTAGATTACGCAAGCTAATAAAAAACTGACCTGCGTGTGTGAATGATGGGGGAATGTTGGTTACCGCAAAGGAGAGATTCTCAGCCAGTGAACTTGTGCTCCAGCAAGACTCTGATACTGATTTGTTAAGGATATTATTCAACTCCACAGGTACCAGCAATGCAGCAGGGGTGCTTATTGTACCCACCTGCAAATAATTAAATTTATGAAATGAAATATCAATGTTACAATGAAACATTTATGGATGAAAATATTAGTGCTATACTGACAAATCCACAGCTTGTGAAACAGTAGTTGAATAAGAAACTCATGAAGATTTTTACACATGAGTGGAGGTGAAAGACAGATAGGTGACAAAGGATAAGCAAATTTCTCCCAACATGCTTAGCTATTAGAAACTTTGTTGAACTTTTATTATAAGCTCATAAAATATGGCTGTATTTTTTCTATAAACTTTAAATACAGACAAGGAAAATTCTCACCTTATTGAAGAGATTTAAAGTTAATGCACGAGCAAAGTGAGCATCGTGTAACAAGAGAAGTGCTCGGAGGGCAGAAAAATGGTCCAGAAGACTTTCTTGTACTAACACTTCACTCAAGAGACTTTCATTAACCAGCCGACTCCTGCAACACAAAGCTAATTAATATGATCTCCAGGGAAGACCAATACTGTACCATCATCTATACAGTACAATAGTAATTCAATCTTTCACAGCAAATCCATTTTTATTGTTGCTAATTCAATAAGTTGTTATAACCTAGCAGCAGCATGAAAGCATGTTTATCTTATGCTTGGGGGGAAAAATTCCTTTAAAGTTTAGTAAATGTGTCAATTGGTAGCCAAGGGCATACTAATTTGATTTTGGTCACATGTCTAGCCATAGAGTGCCCAGTGCTGTGGACACTGAATCCGGTAAACTGATATTAATGAAATATGAGAGAGAGAGATTTTGGTGATGGTTAAGAAAGATTGAAGAAGGTGGATCACAAGTCAAAGAAAGTAAATCACATACCTGTACTAGGGTCATGGGTCAATGTCAAAACTACATAATGTTGGGGTTTGTGCTCTAATGATACAGTGCAAAAGGTGAAATAATAAGATGTCTCCGTTAAAAATTTAATCATCATATGTACCTGTACGAGCATAAAGTAGACTTAGTAGAGGCTCAGAAGTAAATAGATACATGATAATGAGAACAACAGTGTGTGAAAGATGGTGCAGTGTTTTTATATGACTCAGGTGTATGCAGCATCTAAAGGGAGGTACACTCAATCAAGATAGGAATAATGGTAACATATTCCTGATATTCATTTCATGGTACTGTAACTGCTTTAGGTCATTAGGCTTTATGAGAACTACTGTAGATGGGAAAACGAATCAGAGATCCTCACTGTGTTGCTAAGTGCATTCTGATCGAGCGAATAAAATAAATAGGTGCACAAGACAGCTCATTGGTAGTTGGAGAAGGAGGTAGTTCCTTGGATCCTGGCTGTCTGGTATTTGGTCTTCCATTCAGAGCAGTCCCAGTTATGTCCAGGAGAGGCTCACAACCTGCAGCACAATGATGACCTGTATTAGTGGTGTTTTAGTCTTTTATACTTCCTCAAATATCAAGTCCCATATTCAGAAACTCAACCAAAATATTAAGCAGTGGGGTAATAGACAATACTAAACTAGGAGTGATGATAAATGGATGGGCAAAAGACGAGATAAAAATATATAAATGAAGCAACCATTGAATATACAAAAAGTCTGTCTACAAAGATCCTCAAATAGAAAATTATCCAGTAGTCTCACCCATTAGTTTTAGATTCTCCACATTGTACGGCTCAGCTTTGCAGACCACAGAGTTTTTAACAGCAGACAGCAGGTCATCCATTGGGCTCATATCAAGGTCTGGTTGAGCAGGCGACAACAGGGGTTCCTGATTTTGTGGAATAAACATTATAGTATTACATATGGCACTGCATTCTAATTATACAGTACTTTATGTACATTTCATGAATAAATAACACTGTATAGGCCACATAATTCTCAATTTATATTTATTGTGTTTTGATTAGGTATAACAACAACCTACCAGCCATTTCTATACTGAACTATATAGATTATAGAGTACCTGTAGTAAGTACCTTGTACTTAAAAGCGTTACTTCATAATATTATGTCAATGCCATCATAAACACATGCATCACACTTGTTATATAACTCAAAACAAGATATAAGAAAACAAACTTATTTTTCCCAGAAGACTCATGATGTTTAGTGTTTATGTTACAACCATGCAATTGTAAAAAAATAAAATAAATTACAGTACCAGACCACAAAGTTGTTGGCTCAATTTAAAAGACGCTTCTGCAAAGATATGATTTTTAATATTCCTATGCATAAGAACTTGATGAAATACTAACTGTAATTATATGGAACACTCTCTGCAATAGGATAGAAAATTAACTAACTTTTTGGAACACTTATGTAGCTGTATGGAACACTAACTGTAACAGGATAAAACACTGAACTGTACCTGCATGGAACACCACCTTTTAAAAATTATTAATTGGATTACTACAAAATCATCTGACTATTCTTGACATCTAGTGCTGAAGTGAAAGTGCACTGCAATTTTGAATAGAAAACTACTTGTATGTACAAGCCAAAATTTATAGCAAGTTTCTATTGCTTACAAAAATACAAGTCTAAAACAAACAGTGCAACAAAATCATATGAGCTTGAAAACCCCTCACTAAACTATATCATCTTAAGTGTTAGAGGTTTCTTTGGAAACCAAAGCTATTTCACATGAAATGGAAAGGCATCCTCCCAAGAACATAAGCGTTAGTAGATCAGAGGCTTGACATGCCACACAAACCAACCCTGGGTATAATATTTGACAGTTCAAGGTTGAATATATCTTCATGACTTCCGGAGTCATCATGTTATTTCAATGCCTTTGTGTCCTTCAATTAAAATAATGAATGCATTTTGAGAATACATCATTCAATTTACATGTCTTCAATAAAAACAGAAAACTTCAAGGAAAATACAGACACTTGATGTACAATATGTGAAAACTATAACACAAATGAGAAGAACTACCGGTACTTAAAATATTTGTCTCTGACTCTCTTAAATTCTTATAAGCATCTTGGTTGGAGAGACTGACAAATATTCTGTTGTATCTTAATACTTTTTACTCAGATAATTCTTTTTCTAATTATTAACATCAATACAGATTCACTCTCATATTTCATTTCTCATTGTTTCTATAGAAATGTTCCTAATTACTGTACTATGAAGAGAGACATATGTGATCATCAAATTGTATGAGAAGAGAAACATCTCTCAAACTTCATATAATGAAGTAATGTACAGTACACAAGAAACATATCCACGTATTTATAGATATCTTTCATGATTTGTAAGCCTGGTAAAGATGAAAAGAAGTTAATGGCAGCATCACAAAATACATGTACTTGGGTTGAAATAATACGACCCTGAAAAAGATACACTGTACAGTATTATCATAGGTATAAAAATTTAGAAGCATTCAGTGGGCAGGGCAGTCTCAAAATAAAAGATTGTGGCAGCAAATGGGAACACCATCCAGCAGTGTATTACAGATTTAGACTAATGATGACAAACACTTAAAGTTAGCCATGCATAACATCAGAGCTTATACAGTGCAAGGTAATACTGTATAACAAAAATAATATAAAACAGTGATGGTATTCAAACCTAATATAAAAAGCTTAGGAACTAAATCTTTTTACAATCATAAAATAAACATTAACAATAAAATTAAAAGTTCAATATAAAAAAATAATCTAAATGAAATATATACAATAATATACAAGAGTTAATATTATGCAGTACAATACTCTTAAGGTATATTCTATCCAAATATATTAACTAAATACCAAGTAACATTAATCACAAAACATAATTCTGTACAATATAAAAATCCACCATAAACACTGTACAAAAAATTTACCCGTTATCAGCATTCACTTTTCTTAAATATTAAAATAAAATAAAATAAATATATCAATTAAAAAAAATCCACACTTTAGTAAATAAAACATCAACCTTATATTCTACTACAAACATTTGAACATTGTCAATAGATGCACTTATACTGTACTTATGATAAAAGAGACTGTTGACACAATGGGGCATCAGCTGCCACCTACATGTTTCCAGAGGAGTTTATGAATAACAGCATCCGATGCATGGCCATGGATGCTCCTCCCCCGTTCCTTCAGCACTTCTCCACCCACCTTCCCAAGTTAGTGTAGCAAAGGGCAGAGGAAGTTCAAAGTTTAGCCATGATTAGTTAATCCCTAAGCCTACTGAAGGCTTACACCCCTTAGATAGGTTATGTTAGGAGTTTGCAAGAAATATATGTTCGATAAGAGCAAAGCAGATGAACAATAGGCATTAGCTTATGTAAACATGAATTCCTTCTTGTAAACAATCCTTCTATAGCACTACATGCATCTATTTAGGAACTTGGGCCAGAATTCTCATGAATTTGTACACTGATTTTTTCTCCCATAACTGAGGATTTATGAAAACATCAAAAATTAACTGAAGACTATGCTGTAAGCAGACATGTCCCCTAACACTCCTCTTCAGGGAAAAACTTTAGAGACTGTACAAATATTTGAGAAAAAAGGCACAGATCAAATTAACTAATGACACAGTGATGTGTGAGAGAAAAAATGGAAATATTTCATCAGAAGACAGAATACAAAGTCCCACCTTTTGTGAATACACTACATGTATAAGTGGTTATGTATAGAGTACAATGGTTTAATAGCGACGGCTGAAGTAAATAATGAATCAAGAAACTGGTGTAGCAGTAGAATCAAGAATTTTGATAATGCACTGAAAGCAGGACAAATTTATTTTTGTCTTGCAAAATATTCCATATTGTGATGACAGTACCTATAAAATATCTTTCTGAAGTATGTATTAGTATGAAAATTGTACACAAAACAGGAAGATAGATGAAATATTATTTTGGTGAATAAAACAATGATACACAGAGCAATTAAACTGTGTGCAATCTATCATGTAAATGTGTACTCTATCTTGAATAACAATGACCTTGATTTATGACCCAATGGCACAAACTTCCAGAGGGACCTTCCTTTCTCTGGGGTCACTGTGCCCACCACTTTTCACTTTCTCTTTCTGCAATAGGCAGCATATTAATTACCCAAAAATAAAATCATTGGTTTATTTTCTCTTGGATAGAATATTGTTTATGTATTCTTTAAAGAACAACACACATGTTATTGATTCTCCTCTATGTGTATGTCTGATTAACAGCTTTATGATAGCATATTCTGTATGTAGCTAAAGAGAACTACACCACAATAATTCTACATCACAGACCATCATACAAATTAGATGCATTTCAATTCAACTCTACATTAAGGCCGAAACTATATAACACTTTACTGCCATCATACTGTCATTGTATGGGGATTACTGCAACTGCACTTTATACCCAAATCTGTACTTGACACTATGTATCCAAATTTGAATCATTATACAGTACTCTATTTCTGTCATATGCAATACACCACCACAGAAATACAGTATTGAGAGAACAACACTAGACAGAAGACAACATAATAATTACAATACTGTACTTATAAATTTTTACTAACTATAGAAACTGTCCACATTAAGTAGAAAGAAAATGGATGATAGCTGAGTTATTAATAAAGCAGGATGACACTGAATACAGATAAAGCTTTGGACAGACTATTAAAAAAAGTGCTTCTAATACATATTTTCCCCTCAAGGTATTGAATAACAAGCTCTAGATATTCAATCAAAGTACCATCCTTATATCTGAGGGTTGGCAACCGTAGTCCTCCACTCTAAAAGTGTTTAGGCTGTTTCTAGTCATTAATGAGTCATAAAAGTGGAGGGTAAATTTTGTTTTAGGAGTTTGAAATTGATTATGTACTAGAAAAATCTGCACCTTACTTTAATTTTCTAACTCTTTCAAACTTTTCTCGTTTTAATGTTGGGAGGCCTGAATCAAGGGCTAACATTGGGTCTTCCTTCAACTGCTGTTATAACCATTAATTCAATCTTGTTGCTTAAATTTTTGTGTTCTATAGTATTCCTCTTACACAACAGTGCCCCAAATATCTGCATGGTTTATTCCTGTCACTTAACCAACCTACCATCACCCATTAGTAGTACAGTCATTCTTAAGACCATTCAACATCATACCCTTTGGTAATACATGTACAGTCACCTGTTACAGTGACTGGTGCATTTTGTGAGATGTGGCAACACTGAAATGCTTAATTAGTATAATTAGTCTGGGACACAACTGTACTGGAGGAAAATCTCTCCAACCTTCTATCTTAGGGTTATGCTTAAAAAATCTGATATAAATAAAATTTAATAAATTTTTTAAATATATTTGCTTTTTAGATTTCTGTCACACAAGTTAGGGCCCTGGGGTCAGAAGATTCAACCATCTAGACTTGCTAACTATACAGAGTCAATCTTAACTTAAGATTATAAAAAGTCCTAACAATCGGAAAATATGAAGTTCATAGCACATTTTTTAATACTATATCCATGTTTCTGACAGCCCTCTCCCAAAATGATTCTTGAAGCCCATGTATAGCAACTGAATTGAAAAATAAAAGATAAAAATACCTGATCAATAAGGATTGGCCTCTCTTCATCTGGTGTTGTAAAAGCTGTTGAGCCAGAAGTTTGTCTCTCATAAAAAGAGCATGACTTGTAGCTGGAAGTGCTGGCGGCTGATACTTGTCGACTGTAAGATATTGTAGGCCTCTCTTCTCTTGGAGTGGCTACTTCCACCTGTGATATTCCATATTCAGTTTCAAGAACTTTCTGTTTATTTTTTGCAGCGAGTGAGGAAGGTACTGGTTTGGATCTCAAGATATTCAATGTATTTTTGTTCACTGTGGTGGAGTGAAATTCTTCATTAAGTACCCTTTGCTTAATGGCAGCTGCCTGAGTACATCTCTCCTCATATTGTGACATAACTTCATTCATATTCTGGGGAACAGTGTTACCATTGTCCTCATCTTCACCGACCCTTATACCAAGAGTATGTTTTCCTTCAGTTTCATTCTTATCAATTACAGGAACATTATCTGTTAAAGCAGCTATATTTGCATTGGGATCCTCAAAATCATTAATCTTGGGAGAAGCTGAACTTGAGATTCCAGAAGCCAAATTAGCATTAATATCATCTGCTTGGAATGTATGATGGTTGCCTTCTAAGTTTCCATTTTCATCATCCTCTCCATGATTTATCCCTGAGACACCAATTGTTGCAAAGTTAGCATTGGCATCTTGGGCTGTTGCAGTTTCTCTCACACAATCATTGATGCCAAATTCTTCCTTGAGAACCTTATTATGATTCTTTTCAGCCGTCAGTCTTGGATTATGGAGCATTGATTCTCCAAAGATCCTGTCAGCTGTGGATTGATTTTTAATGTCCTTTGTCACAATTCCATGGGCACCTTCTGTACTCTCACTGATGATTCCAAACTCTTCCTCCAAAACTCTCTTCTTATTGACTGAAGCCTCAACTTTACTATTTGAAGTTGACATATATGTTGGCAATTTATTTCTCTGAGCACCAACATCCTCTGATCTATCATAAAGTACAGACTCAACAGAACTTTTTGTGTATGCACCAGAATACCTGTTCTCTCTAAAATTCTTCTCAAAACTTACAGATCTTTTGAGATCAACCTCAAAGTCTGGAAGATTTTCATCATGAGGTGTATCTACAAAGTCTGATGAAGTACTCATCAATGACGGTGTCATATCAGAAACCGAGGAAAATTCTTGATTGGGACTATCTTTAATATCATCAGGATATTGTACAACAAGATTTTCATTTATGTTTACCAGCTTTTGTATACATGTCTCAGAGTTAATATTTAATAGGTTTCTGGGAAGAGTTCTGTGCTGGGCACCTTGCTCTAAATGTGGAACATCAGACACTAAACACCGAACAGTAACTTGTGACACATCATCTGCTGTCTCTTCAGTACTGCATATGTCTTCAGCATCAGACTTATTTTCTGTTTCTTGTAGCTTCAGAGTCTCAGCATCTATTTGCTGTGCAGACCAATCACTGTGGAGGAAGAATTGCTTGCGAGCTTCATTAAGTTGACATCGCCTCATTCGCCAGCGAGCGAGAGCCTCACTACGTTCCGCAGCAAACATCTTTTGACGATAGAATAATTCCATTTGAACCCTGAAAGAAATTGATTGCATAATCAATAATTATAACAATAAACCGATACAGTATCTACAATATACATACAAAGTTTACCATATACTGCATGGGATACATATACTGAAGCACATACATAAAGAAACAAAATATCTCAGCAAGTGTTCATTTTTAGTACTGTATTCTGGTGCTTTTGGAAGTAGCATCAACCTTGTGATTTTAATAAGTAATAGTCATTTTACTGTACCTCAATTTTTCTTCCCCCCTTTGTTGCTCTGCCTCTTTCTCCTCCAACACCAGGGCAATCTTACGATTTTCATCCCGTTCCCACTGTTTCTCCTCTCGCTTTCTCAATTCAGCTTTCAACATTTCTTCTTTTAATTCTTTTAACTGGACCCTCTTCTGTGCTGCCTCACTCTGGTGGACATCTTCCAGCTTCTCTGTAAACAATGTAAAATAGTTAATGCTCAAGATATGTGTTTGGGGAAAATGACAACCTACGTTAAGAGGACATAATATTAACAGAAAATGAGGATAAATTGGTCAAAGTTCATGAGGTGAAAATGAAAGTAAAATTGTTGGAAATACCATGGAAGATGTTATTCAAGAGTTTTAGAACAAGGAGGGAAAAATTATAAAAGAAAAAGCAAAGGCTGTAGAAAAACAGGAGGAAGAGTACACAACATGGATCATCCTTCAAATATTTACAATGAAAATAACTTATCCACTACACATTTAAAGACTATTATCAGTACAAAACAAGAATAGTCATCCATGAGCCAGAATATTTGATCATTACTACCTAAGGGTACAACTGGTGCCTTTGAAGTTTTTTAACTCTTTACCATTTATGCATCATTATCATTTACTGTATTATAGCCAGGTCACAGAGGTAAAATATCTTAAAGGTTAAAGCACTATTTAGTCCCAAGAGTATTAACTTATTAAGAGTAACAAATATAGCTTTAGATTTTTAACTTCACCAGAAACGAATCTACAAGGGCATAACTTTCAAGCATATACAGTTGACAAATATTCTGAATACAGTGAAATAATTCAAATTATTTAAATTCTCAACTTTCATGGTAAGTGTGTAGTTGATAGCAAATAGTGAAAATATGGAGGGGTATATCTGGACCTCTATACTGTACTGTACTCTCAATCTTCCTAATTTTAAATTTTAAGACAAAGTAAGAAGCAGGCAAGAAACAATATCCAAATTATAAATGACTTGACAGATAAAATATTCCTTAGTTAAGATTTTATGCAGTAATAAAGTGTCAAACTTTTACAGTGTGCTAACTGTCTGTATTATAATGGCTCCTATGTATCCTGTGTATCTTTCTGGAGATGCACTTAGAAATCATCAACCAGAAATGCATGTTGTCTCCATGATCTAACCTGTACTTAATAGCATAACCATCTTTATTATCATCTCCATTTTATGGACATTTGCCATGCCTGTGTGAGTTACCTGTGATTATGGTACCTGATGGCATGGTGACCCAGTTGCCATCAAGAAAATTGGAAACAAGCACTATGGCTGGATGCTAGTCCCATCACCAAGATGTTATGGGCATTTAGGTCATGACAACAGAAACTAAACTAAAAATTCCAAAATAAAATTATTACATACTCTCAATTTCCTTAATGATGGCTGCGTGCTTTTTTGATGATAATGCACTCAAGCGCTGATTCTCTTCCCTTTCCTTCTCTGCCTTCTGGTGAGCTGTAACCTAAAGACAAAACATAGAAATTTGTAAATGCATCAGAATCAACCATATTAATATACAAATCAAGTAACTGATAAGATAAAGCAAAAATAGTTCACAGGAACTAGGAAGAAAGCGTAAAAAGACAAAGACAATGAGAAAGCAAAAAGATAAGAAAATTTTAATCACAGAAAGGAAAATGAAACTGAAGAAAAAGCAAAAGATAGCTCAGCGAAAGAGAGATAATTCCTTGTAGTTTAGCCTCGGTGATACATCCAAGGGTAGCCAGTCTACCGCTTAACATGTCCAGTCATATAATCCTGGTGGTACAAAATATCAAGGGTTCAAGCCTCGGCCCAGACACAAGTGAGAAGGGTGTTATCCAGTGTGACCCTACCAAACATCATAGGTTTCCCGGTCATCAGTTTCCCCCTGTACTAACACTGGATAGAACAACTGCCCAAATGGCTAGTAAGCTGATATGTGATTAAAATGTTTAAAAATAAAAAAAATAAAAATAAATAAATAAAAATGGCTGTACTCCCCACACTCATCCTCATCAATCCTACACCTTTTCATTAATGCCCCTATTATACTTTTCTTAAACACCTCAAACCATCCCTTAGGGCACCAGTATGAGGATGAGGTTTAATTTAGTAAGACAGGGTAAAAAAAAAATATTCAATAACTCTAAATGATAATTATGTTTTAGAACATTCAATAAACAGGAACCAAAATATCAGTAGGAATAAAGGCTGATCATATTTTATTCTTCGCAATGATATGATCGCACTTTACTGCTACTGATATTTAGGTTCCTGTATATTGCGCATCCCAATATATAGTTCTGTAATCATTTAGGGTTTACGAACAAATATATGACCCTGTTTATCCCAACAAGATCCTGATTCAGGTTATAAAATACATAAATGTGTAGTATATTTGGTATTTTCATGTGAACATCACTAACAAACTCACCTGTTTTTGTGCTGCCATATGATCCATGTGTGCAGCATAGACCTCACACTCACGTCGCATCTGCTCTAACTCTTCGCCTGATATACATAACTGTAAACTTGGATGTTTGGTGCTTCCATTCTGGACAAGATGATTCTGTAATATGGTAGTTGTAAGTGACTGGATGGCTTATCCATTATTAGCTCATGGCATTGAAACAGCTTAAAGGAAGATGTCAATTGGTTAAATATTTAAACAAAATGTCTTTAAACTAAGAATATAAAGAAAAATACATGTTGTTTATCTTAATTCTAATACTACATATTATAATTTTTATACTTACAGTTTTTTAGTGAAACAAGTATTATCTGTTGTAGTTATGTACTGCTATTATTATTTTACCAGTATACACACAGTACTTCATCAAGAGTACTACAGTACTGACAGAAATTTAAAAATTTAATATGACCAATTAATTTTATGGAAAACTTTATGTTCAAAAGCAGAAGCCATAAAAACATTTTAATATAATTTAGAAATTAGTGAATTGAAATACGGTATAAAAACTTTACTATTTTATTTCAGAAAAGTGGAACAAAATTCTATATCTCAATTAGAAACTACATAATAAAAACATCTTATTTCCTTGAAAAAATAGGGCGAACTGACTGCTGACTCCTACTCATCCACTGTTAGGGGGAGGAGGGGATGGGGAAAGAAACAAGTGCTTAATAAGTGATGAAAGTTTTCTATTTTGGGGCATCAGGGAAGGTTCATTTTGACGACTATATATAATCCAAACTTAAACAAAGAATTACAGTAGAACCCCGATTTACGCGGTCAATTGAACCCATGGGGTACCGCGGAAAGTGAAAACCGCGTAAAGTGAACAACAGAACATATGGGATTAATTCCAATAGAGACTGGCCCGACCCCCAAACTCCACTTTTTCAGACACAATACCTACGTTGTAGTAAAAATTACATCTTAATTTTATGATGGTATGCACGCACAATTAATAATTAAGAGAAATATCAATAATATTAGTTTTTTTAACACTTACATTAGTAGAAAAGATGGCTGGGCACATAGGGATGGGGGGTTGGTTCCGAGGCAGAGGGCAGATTATTGGCCCTCACCTGTATCACTTGTATCAATTGTATCACTATCCACCACATAGGCTTGCAGGGCCTCTTTGTCAAACCCCTCAAAGTCCATATAAGTCCATATCCTCACTATCACTGACTTGGGCCAGTTGTGGTGGGTGGCGGGTGAAGAACTCAGTAATGTTTTGATGACTGGGCGACTTTGTGAGCATTCTGTCCGCGCCGCTTCCCGCGTATATGAGTAGATGCACCGCGTAAAGTGAAAGTCCGGTTCTGGCGAGGTACCGCGTAAATGCGAAATCGCGGAAAGTGAAACCGCGTAAAGCGGGGTATTACTGTATAAAGAAGTTGGGGGTGTTGAAGTCAGTGACACACTCCCCCAGCTAGTATTTGGCACCGCTTCAGAATCCTTCTCTAATGCATAGTTGTTTTAGAAAAATATAGTTCAGTTTATATTGCTCAATTCTGGTGGCCACAATTCTTAAAGATTTCTACTTGACCATCCCCAAGGCCAATACAGGTAGTCAATATGTTGGAAAAATTTTCGCCCATCAAGAACTGGTTTTCGGAATGGTTGAATAATTAGCAACAGAGCAAACATAATTCCATTGCGTATATGAATGGTAATTAAAGTCTAGCTTAAGGAAGTGATGATTGTCAGCTTGTGGACCAACTGCTCACACTTCACATAAGACTCTGCTATGCTTGTTTAATGTTTGATTTAAACTCACCTCACACCCCAGGGATATCTCTTTAGTAACAAACAATAATATCCAAAAATATAATATACCAGTATGTAGTGTTAAAATTCCGAGGTGCATAAAATACCTTTACAGAACAAAGCTTGAGCAAATTAAGAGCTTTGCCACAGGTAAAAGCTTCCTGTAGCACATCCCTCAGGAAGGGAGGAACAGATGACTGATCACGTAGAGTATAACCCTTCGTCCAGTAGCTTCTATCACGTCTTAGTAATGATCTTCCATCAACATCAATCATAAATTCTAGCCCGGGGTCTAAGCACACACCATCATATATCCAGTCCTCTAAGTATCTGTAATATTAAGGGAATGGATACAGTACAGTGATAACTAATGTACTAAGATTACTATCAGTAAGTATAGCTCACAGCCTTTCTCTCACCCCTCTCACACCTAACTTCCTGTGCAGCATGGAATTTATCAAACTTGCATTTCAATTGTATACTAAAACTATTATATGACTATGATGAGTATAACAGAATATCTTACACAAAATTGTTTTCAGCAATATGCAAAAATTAAAATCTAATGAAGACAAAAGTAATTTACTATAACTTACTGAAAGAATGGTGCACAAGAGTTCTTAAAGATAGATACAAGTAACAGTAGACAGGCTTGGTCCTTGGTAACAATAATTTGATTCAGTAACTCCCCAAGCAGATTAAGACCCCTCAACATTTCTTGGTGGGGCTCTCCAACACCTAACGTGTGTTGTGGTCTGGTGGAGTTATTAAGATCTGTTGCCTTCTTGTTTGATGTGAGTCCAGGTGTATCCCCAACTTTGTAACAGTTTAAAGAAATATGACACAGATGGGCAACAAATCTGATTTTCTTTAACAAATGTCGCGCTCTCTCTTGAAACTTGGGAAGGTGAGTTTCCCCGCTAAATGAAAACACGGTACCTCTGAAATTTTAATAAATGTTAGTAAATAATTTCTGGAATTTCTAATATTTTCTTCAAAAATTTATTTGGAAATTCTGTGATTCTGTTGTGATAATCACTGTGTTACATGATATAACCACATAACAAGAGCAAACCATTATGGTCCCTCCTTATGATATAGGATTAACATTATTGTGAGTGACTATTTAAAATAAAATTGCTGTATCGTTCTACCTTACAGTAGTTACAGATCATGGTGGATATAACTCCAGGGTAAAGTATACTGGTATGTCTAAAATACCATCTGATTCAATTTATATCACCTTTAAATACATGCAATAAATCTTTCTTATCTGGCCGTGTTAAATCTTGGTATATACAGTATAATGGAAGTGGAACTTGCCTTTTTTTAATTTATAAATACACATCTACCTGAAATATTTTCTACTTGAGGGTGAAATAAATTTAAAACTTAACCCCACTTTGAATTTTTTTTTTTAGACTACAGCATCCATCTTGTGCTTTGAAGCTACTGTACTGAATAAATAATGCATCAAACACACCTGTAAACTTGTAGCACCTTAGATATGGCCACAGTAAATGACCGATACACTGAGCCTTGTGTTAGTACTTGCTGTGTGTCAAATGTAGGAGTAGCACACACCACTTCCAACCTGTAAGAGATGAACAAACTGTTACTGAAGCGAAGCTGTAGCATTCAATAGCCTGTGTAAGTGCTATTGATACACAGTGACAGTAGGGTCTTTATTTCTACAGAGGGACCATGTGGAGCTAAATAAGAGAAAAGGGTAAAGATAGGGAGCCATTATGTGGAGGAAAAGTTAGAATAATACATTAAGGAGAAAATATAGGGAATATATAGGACAAAGTTGATATAAAGAGATAGACAACCATTGGGAGTGAAACATACAAATACAATATCAACCCAATAATTTTGGTTGATATTTGAGAAATTTTACTGATGATTTTGCATTTCCTTTCCCTTTGGACTTTTTATTCAACTCCTTTTTTTACAAACTTCCTTCTAGAACTCTGAATGGCTGTACAGTGTCATTAAATTCCTTAAGACATCCCGGTAGTCAAATGAATTTCAATACAGTACTGTAGTATACTCAATGGATTATTATACAGGGCAGATAAATATTATGGTGGCCCTATTATTGAAGGTCAGAGGTCATTAATAAAGACTAAACTGAAAATTTTGATAGCATTTACAAAATATTTAGTCATATTATAGCTACAAAAGTGATGGTTGTGAAGAGAGGGAAAGTAATGAAGTATACAATGGTAACAATTAAGATCACTTTACTGAGGAAGGAAAATACAGTATTACCTGATTATAACCCCAAATATCTACATACTTTTGACAGATTTTATTTATTTTTTTAATATTCAGAACATTGAAAATTATAAGACTAGTGAGAAATTCTAACTTAGAATGACAGTAAGACAGTCAACAAGAATTAAAACATGACAATTATGAAGTTTCAAGGTTACTAACTGATCAGCTCATTCAGTTGTAGTAGCTATCTGACAAGCAAGAAATTTACCTGCGCACAAGAGTACCACATTCAACAAAGGGCATAAGTGACCCTCGAAGATGTTCAGGAGTTACACCAGGGTAGCAGAGGCCATCCTTCACACAGAAGCTCTCTGACTCCTGGGGACAACAAGATGAGCACCACTATTATGAGAACCAAAATCTCTGTAATACCTAACAGTAATGATTCAACGTAAGTAAATCCTAAATCTTACACATCTATACATCTTATAAAATGTAATTAAAAGCTTACATTATCAATTAATTTAAAATTTATATAAACTAATTAAAAGTTCAACTACATCAAATTAGAACAAAATATCTAAGTTTCAAAAGAACTCTGCATCTAAAAAAAGTTTTTATGTAACACTACAGTACTCATTGAGAGTGTGCTAACTTACTGAAGACCAAAGGAAGCTGCGTGAAGGCACACCAATCATGAGATTCAAGAGATCTTGACAGAGTTCTTTCATTGATCTTACATAAAGGGTTGGTACATGATGATCTCCAAGACTTCCCCACAGCTCCTGATACAACAACCAAATGCTAAAGGAACAAAAAATAATGTGTTACTTGTACTGTGTTATATAACAAAACATATTATCTGTGAACAAGATGGCTATACTACTTTACTGAGGAGAAATTTTTTTAGAAATTCTTTTTCCCATATTCAAGTACAAAAATAATGTGCCATTTTTGCAATATATATTAAGACATGCTACTAGTATATACATAAATAAGCTTAGCATACATTCATATGATTCCTATGGCCTAGCAAGTTGAAAAGCATTCAAGACAAAAATAGTGTATAAAACTATAAAATGACATGTAAAAATCTCATTAAAAAAATTAAATATGGCAAAACCAGATATGTTTGATGCAATTATCAAAATTGAGTTCTTGTCCTAAAACTATCAAATCAATGCAACTCATTAAGAAGAAGAATAAATCCCATTACTGGTGAGAAGATTCTGGTCCTGCTTCAGTAATGAATAATTTTTCCTTGTTCAGAGGAACATGGTCTAAGGTTTCCCAGGTGCGACGAGAGGTAAGGGGTGGACCTTGAAGGACTGTTTCCCATACATCTCCTATGTCATCTTCAGGAGTCTGGAGGTTAGCTGCTCGAGATGATGCATATCCCTCATCACTCCCAACCTAGCATATAAAACAATTGTACAGATTAACCCAAAGAGTAGAGGAAAATGATATAACATCCTCCACATTATAAGCACATAATAAAGAAATTTAGGACTGTTTAAAACTCTGTACTTAGTTATACTGCAATTACTGACATCTGTTCTCAACAGAATATAAAGAGATGCAGAGCTTAAAACAAGTGGTATTGTATTGAGATGGCGATGCAATACCACTTGTTTTAAGCTCTGCATCTCTTCATATTCTGTTGAGAACAGATGTCAGTAATTGCAGTATAACTAAGTATAGAGTTTTAAACAGTCCTAAATTTCTTTAACTAAGTATTCTGTCAAGAATTGGCAAGAAACGGAGATAAAAAAATATCTATGTTATTAAAGTTTGCAAAAAATTGAATAAAAATTTGCCATACAAGCACTGTACATATATCAACTGCAATGGTTTTATTGTTGATACAGTATTACTGGATCTACCCTAAAAATAAGACAACCAAATATATATGAAAATACTGAACACAAATAAGCAAAATACCATGATAATGGTCCTAATTCCCTTAAGCATGTCTATGATTCTGTTTCAGAAAGTAAATATAATTCTCATGTCCCCAGAGTTTTATATTCTGGATGGATTATCCCTTAAGGTTTAATATTGATAATTTGTTCTAGATGAGCTATCTGTAACAGTTCTACAGTAAAACTCCAAAAATCCGGATGCCAGAAATCCGGACCACCTGAGAATCCGGACTTTTCGAAAACTTTTTTTTTTAGCTGGCTTTTGTGTGTATGTGCGCATGCATGAGCGCTACAGCTGCACAGCGACAACAAGCGACCACGCAGTCGCCACTTCAAAACGAGCAATCAAACTGTGACAACGTATGTAATTTTGAATCCTACTCTTTCCATTTACAGAGTACTGTACAAGCCCATAATAATGGCTCCTAAAGTAGATAAACTTCATTGTGTGAAAAGAAAGAAAAACACGTTGAAATTGAGTGACAAACTTGAAATAATTAAGAAACTAGAACATGGTGTGAGCAATACTTTTCTTATGGAAACATACGACATTGGAAAGTCTACAATTTATGATATAAAAAAGGCAAAGAATAAAATTCTAGAATTCACAGCTTTTCCTTTAAAACTGCTCGTTTTGATAAATGAAGCATGCTATATTTGCTAATGAATAAACTATCAAAATGTACCTGTTCATCTCTTCTTTATTCCTCCTTAAATTTGAATTTTAAAAGTACTGCCTGAGAATCCAGAAAATCCGAAAATCCGGACCGACCCAATCCCCAAGCAGTCCAGATTTTTGGACTTCTACTGTATTATTTTTACTATGTACCAGATGAGCCAATTTTTGAAGTCTATTTTCTCCATTGTCTGACAAAAAGTATTTTGCATTGTTTCCCAATACAAAACACTACTTATATACCCAGTAAGAAATATTGTCAAAAATGCATAAATTTTGTTCTTTGTAAAAAATAAGTCTAAGGTGAGAAAAATTCTGACTAAAGTGTTTTGACAGTCAAACAATAATGTGAATAGTATTTGCTGATTAAATTTTTAAAAATATTTTAAACTTTGAGTTGTAAGACTTACTGCACTTGGAGGTGTTGGAGATGATGACAGCAAGGTATTGGGAAGATGGCTGAAATAGCTGTACCCTTGGGCATTGCTAGGAAGCTCAGGAATACACAGAACAGCATCAGGTGTCACCTCCCCACTATGTTCCTGCAACAACGCTCCCAAGATTCTGACGGAAATTTGTGAAGAATTATAAAATAATGTACTACTGTAGGAATATTTTAGTGTAATCTATGGTTTTCAGCTACCCATAGGTGGTGCAGCTTGGAATAAGATACTGTACTTTCAATGTTTATTCTTCTACCACCAGCAATGAACCAAATTTATTTCCTCCAGTTGTCAGATTTGAGCTTTATTCCTATAACAGCAGCAATATTCATGCAATAAATTTTATGATTCTACTAATATTCTTATGTTAGAAATCTGCTACCTTTTCTTATAACCAACATAAGCTAAAGTGAGGATGAAACTGAATCCCATAAACCTATAACAGTACAGTTATCGTAAATATTATGAAACCAGGAAGATCTTATTTCATTCAAGCTACTCTTGATCAAATGACCACTGAAAGGACTTACTTGCCACTTGAGTCACTCTGGCTTCTTCCCATGAGCAAGGGACTAACCCCAGTTCCTGGCAGAGCCTTACTGAGTTCCATAATGGGTTTAATTCCAAATGGAGAAATATTCCTGTTTTCATCCATTTCCTCATTAGCTGAGGATGACACACAAAATATCTCCGGAGGGAAGTGCATGTAGTGGGGCCTATATTCAGCAGACTGCAGGAATGTGTCTCCATATTGTAGTGGGCCAGCGGGCAGGAACCTGGGCTGGTTCTGGAACAACCATGTAATTGATCAAATGTACAGTACCGGGTAATAATAATAATAATAGAAATAATTTAATACCATAGAATACATCTGTTACAGCAATAAGAATGAATGAATAAATGGAAAAGTCCGATGAGTGGAAAAAAATAATCTAAAACACTGAATGATGTCAAAGATAAGTAAAACAATAGCCTGAACAGCATATGGCAAACAAACAGGCTTTCCATCAGTCACCTCACGCTTTATTAACAACTTACCTAGTATTTATAATATTTATACCGGTACCACTAATAATACTTATAATAATAATAATAATAATAATAATAATAATAATAATAATAATAATAATAATAATAATAATAATAATAATAATACTGTAATAATAATAATAATAATAATAATAATAATAATAATACACACCAAATCATTGATACAGCAAGACCAACTTAAAGCATTTTCAAGTATGCTAGTGGCTAATTAATGCTTTATCTAGCAACTAAAATCAGAACTTGGAGATAAGAGATTGGCAAGTTAATTTTTTTCCTGGATAATCTCCTTGTAAATGACACTAAAAGAGAAGGTCTGGTCTTGTATTGCTCTAACTTCTATCCATTTTTTCCTCTAAGTCACTTTCTGTATAATTCCTTTCCCTTTTCTACTGTTAAATTAATAAGCAAATGCTGATGAAATTTATATCTCCCTAAACCATGAGCTTGAACTCTATACTCCTCAAATGTCATCAAATCAACATTAAAAATATATACAATACTGTATACAGTATCTAAAACCTCTTACTCTTCGTACTTCCTGCTTAGAAGAATTAAATGATTCAGATGGGCAACTTCACCAAATGGGCTAGACAGACAAAGAATATTTTCCTAACTTTACCTGCAGCACCAACAACTATCTCTAGAAAACAAGGCAGAACAGCTGTAGAGTATTCTAGAATTCAGTTCCTTCAATATCAAAGGCAGTCTCATCACATTATACAGAACATTTTCCAAGTTCCAACTGAGTAATCTACCTAAGATTGAGAACTATTGTGTTCGTGGCTCCTCACCACCATTACAGCGATGCCAAATACGGATAGATATTTTTCAAGTTCTAAGATATCTATCACTGGCTATAATTTGAAGGCATATCCCTTAAAAGGTTTTAGTGAGTTATTCTGACAAATATTTCAAACCCTAGAGTAGGACTGTGTTCATCACCAATTTATCTATTTATCTGATATATTGCTATCAATAAGACCTTCCTGTGAGGGAAGGGTTGTGACAAAAATGTCTTCGGACCACCTTATCTAAACTTGTACCCCTGACCTACTCAATCTCTTCACACATTCCTGAACTTTTACTTTGTGTACTACTCCTTTAGGTAACTTTCTTTTTCTTTTACAGAGATGAGTTGGTCAGCCAGTTTCTAGTGCATATAATGGTGCAAAACAAAACGATTTTAAGCTCCTAACAAAGAAACTGGCAAGTTATTAACCCTTCATGTTAAAAATTTCAAAATATTTAGGGACATAAAACACTATTTTTTACCTTTCCAACATGAACAATCCTTGGAGTTAGTTCAGCAAGAGTTGGTTTCTTCTTAATATCTCCACCAAAGCCCTTGAGGGCCACGAGGAACTTCAACACACTTCGTATGTCACTACCAGCCTCCAAGTGACCTGTTGGAAGTTTTATATGTTATTACTGTACACTATTATTATCTTTTTAATCATTCTTTATTAAGATCAAATGCCCTTCCTTAAACATTTTTTTTCAATTGTTCCATATGTATTATCACTGGCTTGAAATTTCATGGTACTGTACTGGTACTACAGTATAACCATCCCCTGTGATTGGACATGAAACTCATTATAGAGACAAAAACTCCCTTTAAAGCCACTGTGTTGTGCTCTTCTCTATTTTGGCATTCATACCATCATGACTTTCAAGGTGTGTCTTATCTAAATAATTTGTCCTACATTCTCTTTATAATTCTGTCTGACATACTTTCACACTAGCTACTTGATTCTTTGCTATAGCCTAACTTACCCTTCGAATGGTCAACTACAACAATTCTTACTGTAGCTCATACTGTACATGTGTATTACTTTCTGTTTTCCATACATTATATCATGTTAAACTCCTGTATACCTAATTTACAGTTCTACCGGTACTGAGTGATATGACCTCATTCATGAGATAACGAGAGGATAATTACCATAAACTTACCACGTTCTTTCAAAAACTGCAAACATTTGTCAAGGGAGTTTCCATCATCATATCTGCGGTGATGACGCAACACAAATGTCTGCCATATGACCTCCTCCAACTCAGTCAGCTTTACCACAGTGTTTTCTGTGTCATAATCTGAAAAAATAAACTGCATTTAAACCACTAGTCATTTAAACCAAACTACATCTTTTATATTTTTTAATGAAATCTACTTGATACAAATACTGTACTGTATACTGTATTCATACTGTACAGCATAGTGTATTAATAGGTGCAGAATTACTTCCTCGGGACAAGAGCAAATGGTCCTACACCACATTCAAAAGCATGGCAATACTGTACCTTGGAGGACGAAAATTTTATCCAAGTGGAAATGGTGGCCTAAAAAGCTAATAAATAACAGAAATGACTAACACAGTAACTGTTAGGAAGTGAACAAATAAAGTATAAAAGAAAATTTTGACAGTTAATGAATGAACTTATATAAAATTGAACAAACAAAAATTATATCATTAAGTTACAGTACTTGTCTAACAGCTATAAATAGTGAAATAAGTATGGAATGGAGAAAAGCATGATCATTCTGGTTTGTCAATACATATGATAGTTATTTAGGGAAGGTGTTAGACTTATGGTGGCACAAAGGAATATGGCATGAGAATACTGATGAGTGATGAGGTGATGACTCAGTTGTTAGGTATAAAACTTAACAGGCTAGACATCATAGTTGTTTACTGAATATGTAGGAGATACTGTAGAACTGCATTAATAACCTGACTGTTAGTAAAAGTATTCCTGACAGTGAATTAAATAAAGTACTTCATTGCATTCTTTTGTATTACATTATGCTAATACAGGTATCATTTAATTTAATTCTAAGAAAATCAAAGGAGTTCAAGATCCATTCTGGACACAACTCAAGAGTCAAAATCCAAACTGAGATTTTTGCTGCCTGGCTTTAGGACATGTGCTGGAAACTGATGCTCTAATAGCTGCAAAATCTTCCAAACCAATTTTAAGAACAAAGTATAATACTGTACCATTAATTCATGACTTTTCTACCCCTTCATCTCCTTGTCAGTATAGTAATCTTAATATAATGTTCTTTGGACGATAGTAATAAAAATTATATGACACTGCACAGAAAATAATAGAACTTGACCTGACTAACATAACCAAAGAAACCTACCTAACATTACCTAACTTCCTAGCCGGGCCGACAACCCCTCCCCCATCATATTAAACAGAAAGAACTTACCCAGTACTTTTATATCTGGTACCAATGAAAGCAACTTTCCTTGAAGCAGCTTGGTGTAATTTTACGTTTTTTTGTGAACGTAAGAGTACGCTCGGATTGAGAAACGGACACATGCCGATATGGCAAATTTTTCGGTGGAATATGTATAGTAATTAATTAATTTCTTCGTGTACAAAGCACGTAGAGACCTCATTTTAGTGTCATATAATCAGCTTTCTGCCGTGTTTTATCCCACAATTTCCCTCATCCTTCATACCCTGCTCACTACAGGTGATTTTTGACCGTACAGTACATAAATAAAAAAATAAAAATTTAAAAAATTAAAATAAACTATAGTATTATACTATATAAATACAAAAAAAAGTTGTCATCCAAACAACAGCTGTGGAAAAAAATAACCAAAGCAAACAACTCCTGGTGTAAGCCTTCTGCTCCAGTATTACCTAAAATACGATTTATGTAAAGACAACAACAAGTATGCATTAATTATACAAATTTACCAAAATATGAAGAAAAACACAATGGGTATACTGTATTCACAAAATATGAGCCCTTTAAAACGATATATAGTTCTGTACAACAATGCCAGTGTTAGAGTATAAAAGCTCGCCCTGCTATTAAATTAATTCACATAAAAATTAATGAATTCATTGTGTATCTTTCTGCCTACTCTTTATCATTTTAATACAAGCTAGTGAATTGAAAATTTTCACGACAGCTAAAAGATGTAAACTTATGATCTCACAGACATATACATAAAAAAAAAGTATTATTTTACTTTCCACAATGCGGTTATCTTGGGAATCTTATCTTTGCAATCAATCGTTTGGACAATTCAAGACACCTTTCTTCTATGACGTTTCCCTCGCAAATGAATTTTATATGCCAGGGCAATGTCTATGACCAGAGGACAGAGAGCTTCCCGGTTAGGTTACCCGGTAGGTCATTTTTAGGCCGGCCATTTGCGAAGGAAACGTCATAGAAGAAAGATGCCTTAGAATTGTCTAAACTTTTGATTGCAAAGATAAAATTTCTAAGATTCCTGTGTTGTCCGAATGTAAAACTTTTAACAAAATGAAACATCAAAACATACTTTACATACCTTTCCTATATGTGAGCAAGACTGAGTAAACCAATTTCTTTAGTCTTCGCTGGAGGTCATTTTCCTTGACCTTGTCTCGAATATAAACACCTTTTCGACAATTCTCGCCGAAGTATGCAGCTAACTGATTCACAAGACATATTGTACTTTCAACAGCTGGTGTATCGCGTACTTGTGTGTTATTCAATATATTTTTTGGGCTCGTGTTTGGGGCGGCATTACTGGAAGGACCATCCTCATTATTAATCAGTTCTCTCGGCAGGGGTAGGTTGTGCATTTTACCTCACACCAGGGACACCACCACCTAACGACCTGAAATGAATAAATGAAAATGGAGATGTTCGAAAGTTTAGTAAAACACACTAAAATATATAAATAAAATAACATTATGGAAATTTATAAATATTACAATATATAATAATATAAGTGGAAAATTTGTGTTCTAACATCTAAAAGCTAATAAGAGGGTATACAGTACAACCAAATAATAACCACATATACACAATTCACCAGAGTGTTATAACCAAACATGGGAGTGGTATTGATAAGGAGACAAATCTAGATTATTTGTATGTTTATACGCATTATATGTAGTTCCCTCCCATTTTCATTAGGTGGATCAAGGAGTTAAGTTAGGTTAGGTTGTACACTCTCCACCAAAGTCTTCTTCCTCTCCATCCATTCATTTTACCTTCTTTAACTGAACCAAACCAAACCTAAAGTCCTGTATACAAACACATAAACAAGACCTTAAATATCTTGCACCAATGAAGGTAACATTTTGCTGAGTCACTAATGCAATCAACCTTCAAGAAATTACAGTATATTATTAATTGATTAAGTCAAGGGCAGACCTCCAAAAATTATAGGCTAAGGAGCAGGGGTTGAAAGATTGATGAACTCTAGTTGTGAGGGGGGAAGGGGTACCAACTTCCTATTGAACTTTTTTAATTTAATCATAAATGGTGTATATTGATGATGATAATGTATAGACATGGCAGAATACAGAGATAATGAAGACAAGAATTCACCGTGTCAAATGATATCGCGTCAATAGGCGTCAATAGGATTCTACATCAGTTATCACCAGTCAAGTTACCAGTTATAATTTCAAGTGAGTCAGAACGTAAAGTCTCCATTGTCTGGTTGTGTGACAAATAATCTACCTAACCTTATTTAATGGAACCTCGTCTAAAAAGCAATTTAGGTATTTAAATGTGCTTGAGTTGGAGGGAATATTGAGAACTGCTGCAACATTTTGGTCGTGGGATTATTTCTAGTGGGGATGTATTTTCTGGGATTTTGTCCTGTGGGAAATAATAGTTGGGTATTTCGTTGGACCTAACTTAACCTACTCCCCGATGACCGAAACTAAAATAATACCATTTCGTCCATTGTACCCAGCTGGGAATTATTTACGTATTTTCTCTAAGTCTGGGTATATCAGTCACACGGTAAAAAGATAGTTATAAACACAGATACGTACACTTCCTATCGAGGCAGGAATTTCAAAAGGTTCATTAGTTAAATTTCCCCACTGCAATGATATGAGAACGTATCTACCAGTCTCTGTTACGATACAAAGATAGATACTGGAAAGTGTGTGTGTGTGTGTCAGGAACTAGGTCTTAAAGCTATACGTACATCATCACTACCGAATAAGAAAACAGGAATAAAACCGAGAGAGAGAGAGAGAGAGAGAGAGAGAGAGAGAGAGAGTTAAGGATACACCGGGATAAAGCTTTAGGGGGGGCCCTGACCATATTGTGGCAAGGGGTACAGTAAGATAGTGCCTGATGGAAGACGCTGCCAGCCAGGACCCCATTATACCAACACGAGGGGGAGGTGGGGCCCCCTTCACCACGTCGGAGGAAAGAGAAATGGAAAAGGGAGAGGATGGGGAAAGAGAAGTGGGAAAGACGTCGTGAGAGTGGGAATGGGAAGGGGAGAGAAGAGAAAGGAGGGAGAAGGAAGAGAAACAGGAGGTGATAGGTGAGATAGAGAGCAGGGAGAGAAAAAATATAGGGAGAAATAGGAAAGGAGAAGACGAAAGTGAAAATGGGGGGGAGGGGAGAAGGAAAAGAGACAAAGGAGGGAGAGGTGATATAGAGTAGAGATAGAGAACAAGCATGGGGAGGAGGAAGGAGAAATATGAAGAGAGGAAGAGAGAGTGGAAATGGCGGGGGAGATGAGAAAGGAGGGACAGGTGAGATATTGAGTAGGGAGACAGAAAAAGTAAGGAGGATTAAGAGCAGGAGGAAGAAATGGTAAATGAGTAGAGAGGGAGAGAAAGGAAAGAGTGGGAATAGAGGAGGAGGAGGAGGGAAGAGGCAGACAGGAAGAGAGAGTGGAAGGGGTAGAGAGATGGGATAGAATTGATATAAAGAGGAAAGAATCAAGAGGTGAAGGAGGAATGTGAAAGAAGACACAAGAAAGAGGGAATCACATAGTCAAGAAGTGTGCCGTCGAAAGTTAGGATTAAATTATTCTCTTCCTTGATAACATTCTGAATCATATTTCGAGTAGAGATTGTGACGTTTACCCGAGTCAGGGAGGCGCTGAGGTTGACTGTTGATAAAATTACGATTTATGTCACTTATCTAATCTCAGTATAAATTATTTTTTGTTTTTGTTGTTGCTGAATTAATGGAGGTAAATTAGATCCGGTATTACAGCGACCTGTACTTAATAATTAATAAAAATATGACTAAAATATCCAATGAAAAGTTTTAATTTGCATTGACGAATAGAAAGTTCCACGAATTTTTAATACAAACTTCGAGAAATTGAAACTTTAGTCATTAGTGAGATG